CCTAACCTAACCTAACCTAACCTAACCTAGCCTTACCTAACCTAACCTAACCTAACCTAGCCTTACCTAACCTAACCTAGCCTTACCTAACCTTACCTAACCTAGCCTAACCTAACCTAACCTAACCTTATCTAACCTTACCTAACCTTACCTAACCTTATCTAACCTTACCTAACCTTACCTAACCTTACCTAACCTTACCTAACCTTACCTAACCTAACCTAACCTAACCTAACCTAGCCTTACACTAACCTAACCTAAACCTAACCTAACCTTTAACCTAAGCCTTACCTAACCTAAACCTAACCTAGCCTATAACCTAACCTAAACCTAACCTAAACCTAACCTAACCTAACCTACCTAGCCTTACCTAACCTAACCTAACCTAACCTAACCTAACCTAACCTTACCTAACCTTACCTAACCTTACCTAACCTAACCTAACCTAACCTAACCTAGCCTTACCTAACCTAACCTAACCTAACCTAACCTAACCTAACCTAACCTAGCCTTACCTAACCTAACCTAACTAACCTAAACCTAACCTAGCACCTTACCTAACCTAACCTAACCTATAGCCTTAACCTAACCTAACCTAACCTAACCTAACCTAACCTAACCTAACCTAGCCTTACCTAACCTAACCTAACCTAACCTAACCTAACCTAACCTTACCTAACCTTACCTAACCTTACCTAACCTTACCTAACCTAACCTAACCTAACCTAACCTAGCCTTACCTAACCTAACCTAACCTAACCTAACCTAACCTAACCTAGCCTTACCTAACCTAACCTAACCTAACCTAACCTAACCTAGCCTTACCTAACCTAACCTAACCTAGCCTTACCTAACCTAACCTAACCTAACCTAACCTAACCTAACCTAACCTAGCCTTACCTAACCTAACCTAACCTAACCTAACCTAACCTAACCTTACCTAACCTTACCTAACCTTACCTAACCTTACCTAACCTAACCTAACCTAACCTAACCTAGCCTTACCTAACCTAACCTAACCTAACCTAACCTAACCTAACCTAACCTAACCTAGCCTTACCTAACCTAACCTAACCTAACCTAACCTAACCTAGCCTTACCTAACCTAACCTAACCTAGCCTTACCTAACCTTGAACGACCCTTACTTAGCGCCAGCTATTGACCTGGGTGTGGGTGTCAGCAGATTTTTTACGGCCTTTTGGCTGCCGTGATTAAAGACCCACGTCCCTCATGCTCTGACAGCAGAGTTTCAGGTGACCTGAGGAGCTGTGCTTAGAAAGCTTAGGTATTCGTGTTCAACGATACAGTATCCCGGGGGGGGAGAGGGGGCATCATTAGCGTTTTTACGGTGTCGTTGAGAAGCGCTGAACCCGCAGGGGTCAGGCAAGCGCCTGAGGGAGGAGAGGAGAGGAGAGAGGAGGGAGGGTGGGTGGGTTGGTAGTCAGGTACGATCCGAGGAAGGGGAGGATGGTTTTAATTCCTTGGATCAAGAGCCCTTCATTGGCAGTAAGGTAGCTCTTGAAGGTACTTTATTGTATCTCGCTGTGTGTAGAGCTTTATCAAGTCTTTCACTGTGTAGAGCTTTATTAAGTCTTTCACTGTGTAGAGCTTTATTAAGTCTTTCACTGTGTAGA